TTGTGCAGGTGAAACCAAAGGGAAGATATGCTTCACCATATTTTCTAGTCTTTGGCTTAGAATGAAGTTGGTTTGGAAACATATTCAGCTATGCTTCATCTCCTGCTTTGCCTTTGTGTGGGCGCCCGTGCTAGCAGTGTCCAAGCGTTGGTTTTTGTTTTTTTTTTCCCTTTTCATGCCGCGCCCCCCCTGCAATGGCTCTGCGCCCCCCCTAGGGGGCGGGCCCCACACTTTGGGAACGTCTGCATTAGGGTAACATGGCCATCTGCTGTGGCTGGTCACAGGCCTCCACGGGCTCAGGGTCTGGGTTAAACACACATCTCATACAACACCAAGCCAGCAATTATCCCTCACTGATCTCCTTACCCTCTGCACACGACTGGCTTACACATGCACCAAAAATGTATGATCATATGTCTACAGAAACTGGGTGTGTACATGCAAACTATAGCTTGCATGTACATACCCACAAAACAGCAACACACAAAGCAGAAGAAATTCCCACTGACACAGTGCTATCAGTAAATTAAATCTATCATGCTGAGTGGACCAACAAATTCCAAACAGGAGACAAACACTGAGGTCAGCTGATGATCTCCAGCCACTCCCCTACATCAATCTTCCCCTGCTCATCTCCTACCGCTCTCCTCCGCTCACCGTTATCTTGATCTGCTTCCTCTGTTCTCCCTTTGCCCCATCTCCCCTTCTCCTCCTCCTCCCTGCCCCGTCTTATCTTCATCTTTTCCAATCTCTCTTTCCTCAATACCGGCCTCCTCTCGCCAATTTCTGATTTCACCAAAAGCAGCAACGCGTAGGTTAGATGCCTACTGTTGCTATAGAAACCGCCCCTGTGCTCTAGATCACAATGTGACTTTGTCTCCTCGCCAGGGCTCCTATGCCTGCTCGTTTTTATGTCTGACCAGATACATGCCTGCCTATCTTTGCTTTGTTTGTTTTTTTAAATGTCTCTGTGAAAGGTTGTTCTTCTTCATTGTGTTTTCTTCTCACAGGTGATGCATGCTACTTCAAATTCGGCTATTGCTTGTAGTTACACATTTAAACTTCAATATCCACTTTCAGGTGAAGGTCAGAGCCCAAAATTTCATGATATGTGAAGAAGAGCTTGGCAGATAATTCATCTTCTAAAGCGCATCATAACAATTCTGACTGAAAAATGGCTGGCACCTATAAAAGGATGCTAAATGTAGGGGTACATGTTATGACTGAGCACGGTCGCTGGGGCTCAATCTTCTGAATTTGAATCTGTGAGCTCTCTCAGCATGCTGGCTGCGACAGGTTGACATTTGAATGCGAGACAAG